TTGCTTATAAGCAACCCTGGAAGATTGGAGCCATCGAAAGCCTTGCCAGCAAGTGGTTGCCCGGTCTCTTCCCGAGTATCGCAGCCTTTCAAGGAGATTGAATACAGATGGGCTTTTTGGCTTTTGACTTTCACTCTTAAATTAACGACTATCCTGGATAAGGATTGGGGATGGGCTCCCTCAGTGATGGGTAGCAGCTCGATTGCATTCATTTTAAAAAAATTAGTTTCGCCTCGACTACTTTAGCTGATAGATTGGTGTTGGTGCTCGTTTTCGGGGAACTAGTTCAAGGAGCAAGCTGATGACGGTTTTTTGATTCCCCAGCATGCGTCGACGGAATTGATGGACTGTTGTTCTTAAGCTGAAGCGTGAAAGCAGTGTTAGTTGCCACTACGCCATCTCCACCAGATGTAGTTGCAAATAAGTGGTTTTTATGCGTTTTGTGTTGTGTAACAGCGTTACAAAATGCATATTGTCACGGGGTTGTCTGTGTGCGTGAGGTTGTGTGTTTGTATGTGTCTGTGTGTCCCACATTTTGTCCCACACTTTCAACTCGGGGACCACAAAAGCTAGGGGGCCGAAATTTTGGTATAGTGTTCCTCGCTAAAGGTGACGCGGCAAATTCAGCCTTCCCTTACCCGCCGGTAAGTCGTACGGCCCCGTGAAAGTTTTTCATGGGTAAATGAATATCTCGGGAACCACGGAGTCTAGCAGGCTGAAATTTTAGTTTAATGGACCACTGTTCAGGCTCAACCTTGCCCATTCAAATTCAGCGTTCCCGTACCCGCGGGTAACACGTATGGCCCCGTGAAAGTTTTTCACGGGTAAATTATTAACTCAGGAGCCACGGGGTCTAGGAAGCTGAAATTTTGGGGCAGTGACCCCCTGCCCACGCTCAACCTTGCCCATCCAAATTCAGCGTTCCCGCGCTCTTGAGTGTCACATACGGCCTCGTGAAAATTTTGGCAGGTAAACTAATAACTTGGGAATCACGGAAAGATATTCATCCTTCAAGGTTTCGAATTCAGCTTTCA